CTATGAGATTCAAGTTCTAAAAAGAACAGAAAAATCGATTCTTTAGAAATAATTTTATGACATTTTTTTTTCAATTAATTTGATTATTTAGTAAAACATATCAATTTTATGCTAATATGTGATCAAAAAACATAAATTTTAAAGTTGTTAAAAAAATGAATCATTGTAAGTATATCTCTAACTGTCGCAACGAAATCATCCATAGAGAGAGAGATGGGTATTTCTATTTGTGTAGATTTTGTGTGATTTTATTAATTATTTTAATTTGAGAAATTTTTAATTTCGTTTTCCTTGTTTTGAGTTTTTTGAAAACACTTAAAAAGCCATTTTTAGTTTTATGTTGTAAAATTTTCCTTGTTTTCGAAAACTCATTTTTGAAAATAACATACCAAGCTCGTTTTGAGTATTTTTAAAAAACTGAAAACTGAAAATGACCTCAAAACGGTAAAACAAACGCACTCTAAGCTTCTTGATTATTTGGATTGCAAATTCAAAACTCAACAACAAATTAGGCCTCATTGGATATAAATTTGGGCTTGGCAGATTGAAGGTTTAACTATAGAAATAACAATAAAAAAAGGCACTAGATTTAAGTGATATTATGGGAAATATTGTGTTAGTTTCTGTATAGGGATTCTATATGTAATTTACTGCATTTTGTAATTGGAAGTGAGTTTCAGATTATGATCAGAGGAAATAAGTAACATGAATATGTGAAACGAGGCAAGTTGACCAAAATAAAACCTCTCTTAATGAGTATCAGAAGCTAATCTTGCTATCAGTTGTGCTGTGCCTATCAGACTATCCTACCATTCTTGTCCAGATATGTTGTGTTAATTAGAATGTACTGAGGCCTAGGTTCATTAATCGTAAAAAGTTTCCATCTTGCGGGGCTGTATTTATACAATTTTTTCTCTCTTTTAAATCTGCCAATAAATTGTAATTTTGATACTCGCTCTCCTGTTTGTCAAATTCATCATATGTGAAGAGCTCTCTCTTGTGCTACTACCGATTCAAAATTTTCCTTTTCTGGGCTCCAGATAGGCTAAATATTTTTTCATGAAACTTCTGAAAAAGGCAAAAGCATAAACTTTAGTTCTTACTGGCCTTATTACTTGGCAATTAAATGCAACTAGATATTGTTTGCCCTGTGTGTGGGGTGGGTAAAATATCACATCTTGGCCCATTACCGAGGGATAAGCTAACCATTTGGAGTACGATATTACACTTATTGCTTTCGGAGTTCTACTGTCTAAGAAATATAGTTCCTTCATTTTCTTTTCCTTTTGCGGTCTTCAGCTAAATTTTGTTCCATTTGCTACAGGGTGGGGATTCTGGCACAAAACGGGTAAACGTTGAGCAAGAACTAGATACAAGGGTTGCCTGTGAAGTGCAATCTGAGGAAAATTCTTTGAGAGCTCCAGAGCAGCTTACGGCTTCGAAATCATTGGAAACTGTTTCAAAGACATCTAAAGTACATGGTAGACCTGATAAGTCTGATTACAATGAGCTTCCCAAAGAAATGCATGAAATGAAAATTAAAGATGATAAAGCTGATGACCATGAGGATAATGCAAAGGTTCAATGCTGATTAGTTTTTTCTTTGTTTCATTATAAATTTTCACCCTTTCCCTTTTCTCAAATTTGAAAGAGTAACATGCGTAACCTGCTGCTGAAAGTTTTAAGCTACTCTAGAATTTTTTTTTTTGCTTATAATGAATTTTGCATGCAGGAAATGGAGCCCACTGTTGTCAGTGACAATGGAGCTGAAACGGGTCAGATAATTGTGACTTCAATAGGTGGTCGGAATGGACAACCTAAACAGGTGATTTGGCTTTGTTTTGAATGTTGCAACTTTTAGGCTATCTTATTATGGGGTTTCTCCTTTCATTTCTGTTTTT